ACCCTGAGCCCTAAACCCCTAAACCCTAAACCCTAAGCCCTAAACCCCAAACCTTAAACCCGAATCTCCCGGCATTCCACCATCTTGCCAGGAGATCGCGCTGAAGCTTCAGGCTATCTCGGAGGACACCCCGCGATCAATCTTCATTGTTCTCGAGCCCAGTCCCAGACCCCGAACCCGTTTAGGGAACGTAGGTTGAAAGGGGGTTTTACGAAAATGAGGGATCCCTACGATAGACCCCGAAATAGTAGAGTAGGATCCCCGTAAAATAAGGACACCAAAAGGGTACCCCTAATATCGTAAACCCCGAAATATTCCTAGGCTGAGAAGGTGTAGGGTGAAACTGAGCAAGCGGTCTTGGGAAACCCCAAGCACGGGCTTTCTGGAGAGCGGGCAAGACTCGACGGACGCGCTTTCCTTCTATTCCCCAAAAAACCAAAACGCTTTGGCCCCATACCCCGAACCCTCAGACTCAGCCAGCCATCAAGGTTCTTCCCAAACCCTTCAGCAACTCTCCGCATACGCACACAAAACAGAAGCGCCTTTGGGCCCTCTTCCCCCCCGCGCGCGCGTGCGCGCGCGCCCATGGCGCGGCTCCTGCTGGCCGGCTCGGCCCTTCGGCTGCCCGCCCTGGCGCCACGCGTGCGCTGCCGGGCCGAGGTGCTTGGGGCTTGGGGGGGGGGGGGGGTCTTCGAAAGTTCTTGGGTTTAGGGTTGAGGGTTTAGGGGCTTGAGGGTAGGGTTTGGGGTTTGGGGTTTGGGGTTTAGGGTTTAGGGTTTAGGGTTTAGGGTTTAGGATTTAACGGTTTAGGGATTCGGGTTTAGGGTCGAAGGTTGAGGGTTAGGGTTAGGGCCAGGGTTTAGGGTTTAGGGTTCAGGGTCCAAGAAACGTAGGGGTATCCTCATTGGGAAACCCCAGTTTGTGACACCCTCCCCCAAAATCCCTCAAGAAGGCGGCCTTTTCGGTTCAGGGATTGGGGTCTAAAGGTTCGGATCGTTGTCACCCAAACACCCTAAACGCCCACCGGGAGTGCTCCCTAAGTTCCCCGGCTTGCTTCGAGGCCACGATGCGGGCGGCGCAGCCACGCGCAGTCGGGAAGCCCAGAAGCGTGTGAAAAAGAGGGTTGAGGGGTTTGGGGTGCCTCTACACTTAGCACCCTCCCTTTGGGGCGAGCCCCTCGAAGTACTGAAAACACGGCAGGCGCCTACGTTTAGGCCTGCATGTTTCTCAGTGGGCTCGCAAGATTGGCGCGGGGTGGGGTGGCGGGGGACTGCGCCGGGGTGCGCCTCAGTTGGTAAACGACCGAACCTACCCATTCCGAAGGCCTAAACCCTAAACCCTAAACCCTAAACCCTAAATCCTAAACCCTAAACCCTAAACCCTAAACCCTAAACCCTAAACCCTAAACCCTAAACCCTAAACCCTAAACCCTAAACCCTAAACCCCAAACCCCAAACCCGAAACCCTAAACCCTAAACCCTCGACTTGACAGCCCAGCTTCAAGCGCCTTTTACCCCCAAAGCCGGCTGCTCCCCGCAGGCCCTCAATGATTTGATCCCCAAGTCCCCGCGACAGTCCTTGAGACGTAGACCCACGAAAACTTTCGGGTTTAGGGTTTAGGGTTTAGGGTTTAGGGTTTAGGGTTTAGGGTTTAGGGTTTAGAGAGAGGGACACACAGTAATACATACATACCCAGCCACCCCTGAAAACGTACTGTGCCAGCCGCAACCCTCAAACCCTGGGTCCCTCAACCCTCCTGCCCCCCCCCCCCCCCCCCCCCCAAAAAAAAAAAAGAAACACTCCCTGGAGACCTTCAAGCCCTACCTAGACCTCAAAGCAACCTTAAGACCCGAAGCTCTAAAACCCGAAGCCCTAAACCCTAGCCCTAAACCCTAGCCCTAAACCCTAAACCTCCCCCTCAAGTCCGAGCTGCCACAATCCCAGGTCGTGACAGGGGCCGGCACCGGCATTGGCAGGGCGCTGAGCCTGGCGCTGGCCTCACGGGGGATGCACTCCGGCTTAACCGAAACCCTAAGCCCTAAGCCCTAAGCCCTAAGCCCTAAGCCCTAAACCCTAAACCCTAAACCCTAAGCCCTAAGCCCTAAGCCCTAAGCCCTAAGCCCTGAGCCCTGAGCCCTAAGCCCTAAGCCCTAAGCCCTAAGGGTTTTGGGTTTGGTGCGCGCTCTGTTGTTTGAGCTGCTTTGGGTGCATCTTCGCCCTTTGACAGTCTTGCCACTCAGAGCCGCCAGGCCTCTTTTTGCCCTAAACCCTAAACCCTAAACCCTAAACCCTAAACCCTAAACACTACTAAACCCTAAACCCTAAACCCTAAACCCTAAACCCCAAACCCTAAACCCTAAACCCTAAACCCTAAACCCTAAACCCTAAACCCTAAACCCTAAACCCTAAACCCTAAACCCTAAACCCTAAACCCTAAACCCTAAACCCTAAACCCTAAACCCTAAACCCTAAACCCCTAAGCCCTAAGCCCTTAAACCCTAAACCTCAACTTCGGGCCAAGGGGGTGTGCGTCGCCGCAACATGACCGCCTAAACCCTAAACCTGCAGTGCCCTCCCTGAGCGGTTTTTTGGGGCCCCGAATACGGAACTTTAGGACAAGAAAGTAGTACGAAAAGGGAGGCTGAGCCCTGAGCCCGAAGCCCTAAACCCTAGACCCTGAACTCTGAACCCTAACGTCATCCTTGCAGGTATGTGGTGGCGGTGGGTCGGCGACGAGAGGCCGTGTGGCTTAAATCCCTCAACCCCACAAGCTCTCGGAAGCCTATAAACCCGAGATACACGAAGATACACCACTTCGCCCCCCCCCCCCCCTCCCCCTTCAACCGGTCTCGCGTTTCACCCCCCGAATGGTGGCTCATGGTGGGTTTAAGGTTTGAGGGTTCAGGGTGTATGTTTTCGCGTCCCCTGTGGTGAATGGTGGCTCATGGTGGGTTTAAGGGTTAGATTGGGGTGGAGAACGCGGAGCACGGGATATCACCCCAGACGAGACGCCCTAGAAGCCCAGCAGCCCCGGAATGTTTGGAGCTCTTTGGGGTTGGGGTTTTTGGGGTTTTGGGGTCCTTCTTAAGACCAGGCCGAGGTGCCACAAAAAGCCTAAGCCCTAAACCCTACACACCCTCAACCCTAAACCCTACACACCCTCAACCCCAAACCCTAAACCCTAAACGCCTAAACCCTAAACCCTAAACCCTAAACCCTACACACCCTACACACCCTCAACCCTAAACCCCAAACCCCAAACCCCAAACCCGAAACCCGAGACGCGGATCCTGCCGAGGTGCTGCAGGAGACGCGCCAGCTGTGCGAGAAGAGCGGCGCCCCGGGCACCGTGGAGGCGAGGACCTGAAATCAAAGCTCCAAAGCGCCCCCGAAACAAAAGAAACCCCAAAAAGCCGAAAAGCCCTAGAAGCACTAAGAACCGTAAACCCTAAAACCCTGCACCCCTAAACCCCAATGCCCTAAATCCCTAAACCCCAGAACGCTAGAACCCCAACACCCCGCCTCGATAAGCAAGCGGACAGTTTTGTGGCAGCTCAGCCCAGACCCTCAACCCCATGTATTTTCAGAAGTAGGGGTACCTCCTTATATACCCCGAATAGAATCCCCGAAAGCGACCCCCAAAATGGGTACCCCGTATTTTCGGCAAACCCCTCATGTCAAACCCTACACCCTAAACCCTAAACCCGAAACCCTAAACCCTAAACCCTAAAGCCCTCAAGGATCTGGCCGCGGACGTGGCCTCCGCAGACGGCCGCCAGGCAGTGGCGACGCGGCTGGCGCAGCTCTGTGGCGAAGGAGGCGAGGTTTAGGGCCTAAACCCTCAACCCCAAAACCCTAAACCCTAAGCCATAAGTCCTAAAACCCTAAACCCTAAAGCCTAAACCCTAAACCCTAAACCCTACACCCTAAAACCCTAAACCCTAAACCCTCGGGCCCTTGGGCTTCGGCGTTGGGAGTGTGGTTCAAGAGTCGCGTGCTCCCGTACATCCCAAGTCCAAATATCCTCAAGTAAGATTCTAAGATGCAGCCCAAACATTCAGAGAAGTGCCAGACTTAGAGTTTAGGGTTCAGGGTTCAGGGTTCAGGGTTCAGGGTTTAGGGTTTAGGGTTTAGGGTTTAGGGTTTAGGGTTTAGGGTTTAGGGTTTAGGGTAAACCCTAAGCCCCTCGAAGGGGTAGGAAGGCGGCCAGTCCTACCACTTTGCTTACGACCTCCCAAAATCTCTAAAGCAGATTTTTTCCTTTTACGGGTAACACATTCTGGGGTTTAGGGTTTAGGGTTTAGGGTTTAGGGTTTAGGGTTTAGGCAAATAGTAGAATCCCTCTGCAGGTGGGCCCCTGTCGTGCGTGGTGCACAATGCTGCCGTGATTGGCGAGGCAGGCCTTTTTTGGGGACTTGGGTTTGGAGTTTAGGGTTGGGGGTTCAGGGTTTAGGGTTTAGGGTTTAGTGGCTTAGGGTTTAGGGTTTAGGGTTTAGGGTTTAGGGTTTTGTGGTTCAGGGTTTAGTGGCTCGACTTGGTTTTTTTTGGCACAACCCTGAGCATCTACATCCCCGACGAGGACCTGAGCCCCTGAAGCAAGCACCTGAACCCTCCAACCCATACACTCTCAACCTCAACCCCTTCACCCTTCACCCTAAACCGTAAACCCTAAACCCTAAACCCTTCACCCTTCACCCTAAACCCTAAACCCTAAACCCTAAACCCTAACACTCTCAACCTCAACCCCTTCACCCCTTGCTTGCAGCTCTGCAATGTGGACCAGCTCACGCTGGCGGGCTACCAGCGGACCCAACAGGGTTGGGAAGGCATTGGCTTTGCAGTGGCTGCAGCGTTGATCTCGAGGATTTGAAACATGAGAGGAGATGCGTTTAGGGTTTGGGGTTCAGGGTTTAGGGTTTAGGGTCGGCGAAGGGTTTGGGGTTCAGGGCTTGGGGTTCAAGGTGCAGGGCTGAGTGAATGAAGGTTTGCCCGGAAAGCCGACGCCTCGAAACGTGCAGTCTGTGTTCCCCAACCCTGATACTCGAAGTTCCCGAAGCTGCAAACCCTAAACCCGAAACCCTAAACCCTAAACCCTAAACCCGAAACCCGAAACCCTAAACCCTAAACCCTAAACCCTAAACCCTAAACCCTGAAGCAACGCGGTTTCGAGGACAATGGCCATCAACGTGGAGGGCCCTCTCTTCTTGACGCAGGTTCTCTCGGCCTAAACCCCAAACCCTAATTCCCAAACCCTAAACCCTAAACCCCCTTCCTACACCCAAGACTCCGCCCCGAAAGATCTGAGCCTAGACCCCGAGCCAAAATCCCTAAGCCCTAAAACCCTGAATCCTCTAAGCCCACCCTAAACCCAAAACCCGAAACCCTAGCCCTAAAGCCCTCAACCCTAAGCCCAAAAACCCTAAATCCTCTTAGTGCCACGCCGGCGAAGGCGCTGAAACCCAGCTTCTCCTCGGGTAGCCGCGCGGCCTGGCGCAGTTAGCGGGGTTTCAAGGAGGCAAGGGGGGGGTGACCTTCAATTCCTTCGAGGGTTTAGGGTTTAGGGTTTAGGGTTTAGGGTTTAGGGTTTAGGGTTTAGGGGTTTAGGGTTTAGGGTTTAGGGTACTGTAGTCCAAATATGAATGTACTTATCACTGAATTCTAACCCCCATTAGGGTACTTCAGGGGCTTATGCTTATATGTGGTTTATCATAACCCCATTAGGGTACTTAAGGGGCTCTTATGTGGTTTATCACTACACCGAAAATGGGTTACTAAGTACCCTGAACCTCCAGGTAGAGGGTTTGAAACCCATGTCAGGGTTCCGAGTTCCCTGTAATTCCCTCCGATCAGACAGGGTTTAGGGTTTAGGGTTTAGGGTTTAGGGTTTAGGGTTTAGGGTTTAGGGTTTAGGGTTTAGGGTTTACTGGGGAGGTGAGGGGGGGCGTCATTCAAGGTCCGGGGAGAGGGTTGAGGGTTGAGGGCTTCGGGGCTTCGAACTCGGGATTTCGAACTCGGGGTTTGGGCCTTCAATCCCTAGACCGTAAACCCAAAACCCAAAACAACCCGAAACCCTCAACCCTAACCCCTCAACCCTTAAACCCTTAAACCCGTAAACCCTCAAACCCTTGAACCCCTTAAACCCTTAGACCCTTAAACCCTAAACTCTGCGGCCCTAACCCGAAGCACCCGGGAGTTGAACAAAAACTACTGGCCATGGGTGTCCAAGCAGCCACAGCACACCTGGCCATGTGCACGTGCTTCAGCGTTGTTGGCTCGAGGGGATTTGGGTTCTCTTCTGGGGTTTACGGGCCTCGCTCCGAGGCCAACCGACGGGGCGTGTGGGCCCTAAACCCTAAACCCTAAACCCTAAACCCTAAACCCTAAACCCTAAACCCTAAACCCTAAACCCTAAACCCTAAACCCTAAACCCTAAACCCTAAACCCTAAACCCTAAACCCTGTAGTTTTGGGCCCAAGGTTCAACTTGAGACCCTTGCTTTCTCGGGTCTTTAGTGTTGTTGTGTGTGCTACTTGCCTGCGCATGCATAGGGCTCAGGGCTCAGGGCGGTTTTTGGGGCTTCATTTTTTTTTGCCGGGGGTTCAGGCCATTCTCGTTTGGAGAAGCTTCAGGCGGTTATCTCTGAGTACGCTCTAAACCCTAAACCCCGAATTATACCCTAAACCCTAAACTCAGGGCCTAGGCCGCCCCCACCATAAACCCTATACCATAACACGTTCTCCTCGCGACGAGTACTGGTCCCATAAAGCAAGTACCCTAAACCCGTCATGACCCTGACCCTGGACCTGACCTTTTCAGAGGGGGGGGTACCCCCAGAGCCCCACCCCTTGGCCCCTCCCCCCTGGCCCTGGCCCCCTGGCCCCACCCCTTCCCGCCTGGTCCCTGACCTTCCTGGCCCTGGTGGTTGGCCCGACCCGTCTACACCTTGCTGGCACCTCCTGCAACCCTCCCTGAAACTGCCGCAAGAACCCCCAATTCCTTTCACTCTCGGACTCAACGAACGTCATGAAACTGAAGAAGTTTTCAGAAGTGGACTGTTGTCTGAGTTTAGGCCGGAACCCGAAAAGGAATAGGTTTGGGTGGCTTTACCGCCTGGGACGGCGTGGGGTGGGAGAAAAGTGTTAGATGGCCCTCCACAATCGGGCCAAAGCTGCTCTTCGCACCTCACGAAGCTTTCGAGCTTGTTCCGAAACCTAACCTTCACAGCATGTACGCCCTATCACAGCAAACCCTAAACCTTAAACCCTAAACCCTAAACCCTAAACCCTAAACCCTAAACCCTAAACCCTAAAGCCTAAACCCTAAACCCTAAACCCTACACCCTAAACCCTAAACCCTAAACCCTAAACCCTAAGCCCTAAACCCTACACCCTAAACCTTAAACCCTAAACCCTAAACCCTAAACCCTAAACCCGAAGTCATAAACCGCGAGGGCCATGTCGACTGCTCTCCGGCACCCTGGTGACTCGGATGCGCCCCTGCTGGCCAACCCATTTCCGCGGAAGGAGCCTTCCCTGAGCCCTAAACCAAAGATTCCCTACCCCCAAGGCCCCCGAAACCCTGTAAAGCCTACACCCTTAAAGCCCCTAAACCCTTAAACCCCTTAACCCTTAAACCCCTAAACTCTTAAACCCTTAAACCCCAAAACCCTAGCCCCCCTAAACCTCACACCCTACACCCGAAGTCATTTAGGGGCTATTCAGGGGTTACTTAGCTATACAAGGACTCTATACGGTGTACATATACATATATATATATACATTATATGTGTACATATATATATATATACATATATATAATATAATATAATATAGTATAGTATAATATAATATAATACAATACATATGAACATCTTTGAATATAAACATATTTTCAATGACTTTTCAGGTGTATATATATATATATATATTTGTATATATTTGCTTATGGAAGGGTTCCTTCGAGGGGTCCCTCCTTCTACCCCTCAGAGGAGTGGATCAGAGTCCCAGGAGCTGCGAGCCGCGGGGCTCGGGGCCATCTCGGTGAGTGCGCTCTGCTTGCTGGGCTTCGCCCCTTCCTGGCTGCAGCTCCGCGGATGCAGAGAAGGGGCCCTCGTTCCCTCTTTTTTTAGGGTTAGGTTACTTTTTTTTTTTTTTTAAAGGTTGGGTTCCTCTTTTTTTTTTTAAGGTTAGGTTCCTTTTTTTAAAGGTTAGGTTCCCCCTTTTTTTAAGGGTTAGGTTCCCCTTTTTTTTGGGGGGGGGGAGTTTAGGTTCCTTTGTTTTCTTAGGGTTGGGTTCCCTTGTTGGGGGGGTTTAGGTTCCCTGTTTAGGGCTTCAGGTTCCCTTTTTGTTGGGTTCAGGTTCCTTTTCTTAGGGTTTAGGTTCCCCTTTTTTTTTGGTGGGGGGGGGGTTAGGTTCCTATAATGTTATTGTTTAGGGTTTAGGTTCCCTTGCAACCCCCCTTGAAGCCAACAAGGGTGCCCGTTCTTAAGGGTCTAGGTTCCCTTGTAAGCCCATTGTGTTACTCCTAGGACTACGCTCTTGTCTAGGTTCTTTGCCGCTGGCCAGTTGCACCTCGACCCCTGGTTCGAGGCGGGGCTCCCCCTCTCGGTGCCTTGGTGGCTCTTGCGCTCCCACGCGGAGCTCGCGACGCTTTGGGGGCTCCTGGGAATTCTGCAGGCCATGCTGGGCATGGGACTCATCCCAGGGGCTCCGAGGAGGCTTCATCGAGCTCTGGGCGACTCGCTGAGACAGTTGAGAGCTTGGAAACATCAGCCTTCCGATTTGGGGGCTTGGGGGGGGGGGGGAAAAATAGAGAAAATAAGGATCCTAAGGTCAAGGCGTCAGGGGTTGCTGTGTCTGCTTCATTCTTTGCTTTTCATCATTGTATCCTATCTTTTCATTTCCTTCGTCCCTCTCTCGTTTTCATTTCTTGCTCTCTGGGGTCTGGTTTCTTGCTATGGTCACCTTATTCGTTTTTTCTTAGGGGTGTCTTATTCGTTTTGTCTGGGTTTGTCTCCTTCTTCGTTTTTTGCTTAGCCCTAGTTCCGGTATATCTAATTTAAGTATTTGTTTAGTCTGTTATGTTTTCATTTTTAGGCCTAGTAGATTATCTTAACTTTTGGTTTCGGTAGGTTTATTTGTTATTTTCGGTCTCTGGGTTAGGCTATAACAGACTTTAGATAGGCGGTTCGTAGAAACGCCTATCATAAAGCCTAGTCTGAGCTTAGTATGGTCTAGACATTCCCTAACTTTGGGTTATTCCTAGGGTTTTTGGGCGGTTTCAATAATAATTTAATTGAATATTAAATTATCATTGATAGACTATTTAATTAGAATTTTGAACTATCATCTCATTTAAGAACTCTGTTGTTGCTTGTAAGTATTCATAATGTAATTGTTTGTCTATTTTTACACGATATTGTAAGTAATATATTATTTCTAGGAAAAACTTATAAACTCTTTGATAATAATGAAAATAACCACCTAAAATATCTTTATAATATTTCATTTTCTCCTGATGCCATTGATAGAAGTCAAATGTATCTAGGTTCTCATACATTGTTTTCATTTCAAAGTGTAACTCAGGCGTATATTCTTCCTTATCTACATAATTTTCTATTATTTTATGAACTTCATCATATTCTGGGTATTTGTTCAACTTAGTAAAGGGTAATATATAATCATCAAACAAATTCCTTAACTTACAACATTTATCACAACAATAGTAATCTACAATCTGATTTTTAAAGTTATACAATACATCGCATTTGCCTAGTAATATTTTCTGTATGTTCTTAACTGGGTTACACTTATCACATCTATTGAAATAGTTAAATTTATGTATCTGATTATACAAATATGTTTCATCATATTCACTTTCACTATATTCACTTTCACTCTCATATTCATTATCACTCATTACTCTTAATATACTAGGGCGTTTTGTCTTTAAGTAGATATTTAGATCTTTTAATTTTTGATTGGTTCAACGATAATATTATTTGTAAGTTAATAATATTATGGTTGGTCTATACTGATGAATTTTAACCATTGTATTAAATCATAAAAAACTTGTCGCTTATTTAAATATGTAATTATCATTGAAAATATTCTTAAATAATGATACAAATATTGTTTTAGTTCAACTCTATTATTGTAATATTCATATTCATTATTATATTTAGTTCTTAATAGTTCTTTCAGTTCTTTTACTTTTTCCTCATTAAAATAATGATTATAAACATCTTCAAACTTTTCACTAATTTTTTTATCATATAATTCAGTAAATTTTTCATAATATTCAGTTTCATATTCTTCTACTTCATCTTTATAAATATTACAATAAATATTAGCAATACAGAAGTTAGTATCATACCCTCTCAATATGTTAAGTATTATACTCCGATGATTAGGAAACTCATTTGTTGTTACTAAACTGTAAATAAGAATGGAAACATCATAATCCAAATAATAGTTTCTTGAT